GATTGCAATCATCGCCGTCGAGGAAGAAGAGTATAAGTTGATTGTTGATTGTTGATTGCAATCATCGCCGTCGAGGAAGAAGAGTCTAAGTTGATTGTTGATTGTTGATTGCAATCATCGCCGTCGAGTTGATTGTTGATTTTTGATCAGAACACAGAAGAAGAAGAAGAAGAAGAAGAAGAAGAAGCAAGAAGAAGAAGCAAGAAGAAGCAAGAAGAAGGAGCAAGAAGAAGCAAGAAGAAGAAGAAGAAGAAGAAGAAGAAGGAGCTATGGCGACTCTTGCTGACTCATTTCTGGCCGATCTGGAGGAACTCTCGGACAATGAAGGTGGCGATATCGAAGATGAGGTTATGGGTGATAGTAATAATACCCCAATGGAAGGGGAAGATGATGCGTCCGACGATCTCGAGGCCTTGAATTATGACGATCTGGATTCCGTTGCGAAGCTCCAAAACAGCGACCGTTATCTTACGGTGATCCGGAAGGTTGATGAAGCACTTGTTCGCGGCGACAGCCATCTCTCCCACCATATGACGGTGATGATTGCTGAGGATGATCCGGAGTATCAGTTGATTGTTGATTGCAATTCGATGATGGTGGATATGGAGAACGAGATCGGGATCATCCACAACTTTATCCGAGATAAGTATAGACCTAAATTTCCGGAACTAGAATCTCTGGTCTTGCATCCCATCGACTACGCGCGGGTCGTCAAACGAATCGCTAACGAAATGGATTTAACTCTTGTGGATTTGGAAGGATTACTTCCCTCTGCGACGATTATGGTGGTGTCGGTCACCGCCTCGACGACGAGTGGGAAACCGCTGTCGGAAGAGAATCTTAAGAAGACCGTTGATGCGTGCGATCGTGCGCTGGCGCTGGACGGAGCGAAGACGAAGGTGCTGAGCTTCGTTGAGAGTCGGATGGCGTTCATCGCGCCCAATCTGTCGGCGGTGGTGGGGTCCACCATCGCCGCGCAGCTGATGGGAGTGGCAGGGGGATTGACGGCGCTGTCGAAAATGCCGTCGTGTAACATACGCGTGCTTGGCGCGAACAAGAAGAATCTGGCGGGATTCTCGACGGCGTCGGCGATGCCGCACACGGGGTTCATTTTCCATTCGGATATCGTGCAGAGCACGCCTCCCGCGCTTCGCCAGCAGGCGTGCAGACTTCTGGCGGGAAAGTGCGCGCTCGTGGCGCGCGTTGACGCCATTCGCGGGGACACCTCCGGCGCTCAAGGTCGGCGATGGCGGGAAGAGATCAAGAAGAAGATCGAGAAATGGCAGGAGCCGCCGCCGGCCAAGCAACCTAAACCCTTGCCTATCCCCGACTCAGAACCGAAGAAGAAGAGAGGAGGGAGGAGGTTTCGCAAGATGAAGGAGAGATATGCCTTGACGGACATGCGCAAGCTGGCCAATCGAATGCAATTCGGCATTCCCGAGGAGAGTACGTTGGGAGATGGAATAGGGGAGGGGTTTGGGATGCTGGGCCAAGCAGGCAGCGGGCGGCTGCGGCTCGTCGCTAGTCAGAGCAAGTTGGCAGCGAAGGCGGCGAAGAAGCACAAGGAGAAGAGCTATGGCAGCAGCGGAGCGACGTCCGGTCTCACTTCCAGTCTGGCCTTCACCCCTGTACAGGGCATAGAGTTGGAAAACCCGCAGGCTAGGACAGCAGCGCAGCAGAGCGGAACCAGCACCTACTTCTCGGAAACAGGAACATTCAGTTTTGTGAAGAAAAAGTAGTGTTTTTTTTTTTTTTTTGAGGAAAATTTTT